GAACTTTTTTTCTGAGATTATGCACATATTTTGAGTGGGAAAAAAATATATAGATTTTTTATTTTTTTTTGCAATATTCACTCAAAAACTGAGGTGCATAAGCTTAGGTTAATGAGGCCTACGATCAGTCAGTTCCAAAAAGAAATATAAAACCTGTGCTAATTGAAAGAAAACAAGTTGATAAAATACTGAATTCAATATTTGGTAATAATATATCATAAGACATTTCTAAGCAATTTTTTGTAGGCTGGTCATTTTTGACACTGCAAGTAGGATTTTAACCAATACAATAACATTAACTAGCATTTTTATGAAAAAAGAAAATCCTCTCCAGGTCAAAATAATAGGAACACAACATGAGGTCTGTTAAAGTACAAACAAAGAGAAATGTTATTTATCATATGAATGATTATTAATATGTATTATTTAATATATTCAGCATTCTGACCATGTACATCAGAAGCCAGAAGCAAAGAATTTTCGTATTTCAAATATTATCATATTTTCTTCAAGCTCCCACCGAAAGCTTCTGAAATAAAGATATAAATAAAGCACTCTGTCAATTGTGAAAGTCAAATGTGAAACAATGTGTAAATTTAAAATGTAAATAATTTTTTTTTGATAAACTTTCCATTTCAATGTCCATTTCAAATAAAACATTTTTTCTTATGGTATTCAAGCTCAACAGCACACAGTGAATGGGTGAAGTATTTAATCACTCTGAATAGATTCTCAAGGATTCAGCAAATAACGCACACTGGAAAACAAGCAGAGTACTGCTGAAGTGACAACAAAGAGCTGTCAAACACACTCCTTCCTCACCATTGTTTTGCAGGTTACATGAACACTGTCGCATCATCCAGGTGGATGCTGCACACAGGTGGTGGTTGAGGAGAGACCCCCCCCCCAATCCCATATGATTGTAAAGTGCTTTGGGTGTACAACCCGTTGCATACAGTGCCCCAACTTGTCTTTGAAGCATTTGTTGTGACAATGATGTGTCTGGACACCTGTTCTAAGGGAACTCCTGCCTGTAGAAAAGAGATGTCCTTCCCAGGGCTGAAAGTACAGCGACACTCCGGTGTGATTCTCACACAATGTGTGCCATGGTGCAATGCCCATCTCAGGACTCAGGGATTGAAGCCAGTGCTGAAGCGGCCTCATATGCATCAGTCCCAGCAGCGTGACCACGTCTGAGGACATCATATGCCCTAGGAGCCTCTGAAAGTGTTTGAGAGGGATCGTTGTTTTATGCCCGAGAGATCTCAAGCAGTTCAGCACTGACTGAGCACGAGGCTCTGAGAGGCGTGCTGTCATAGTGACAGAGTCCAGTTCCACACAGAGAAAAGAGATGCTCTGCACAGGGGAGAGTTTGCTCTTTTCCCAGTTGACCCTAAGTCCCAGCCAGACAACATGGTCGAGACAACGTCCCTGTGAGTGCAGACCAATTCTTGCGAGAGAGCAAAGATGAGCCAGTCGTCGAGGTAATTGAGAATGCGAATGCCCACTTCCCTGAGTGGGGCAAGGGCAGCCTCCATGACTTTTGTAAAGACGCGAGGAGATAGGAACAGCCCGAAGGGAAGAACCCTGTACTGATATGCTCGCTCTTCAAAGGCAAACCGGCCTGTGCCTTCGAAGGGCCGAGACATGAAAGTACGCGTCCTTCAGGTCTATTGCTGCAAATCAATCCTGATGTCGGACACATGTTCACATGTTTAAGGGTCAGCATTTTGAACGGGAGCTTGTGAAGGGCCTGGTTCAATACCCTCAAGTCAGGGATCGGTCTGAGCCCCCCACCCTCGCAACCTCCTGAAGAATGGCAGCATTCTCGCCTCATACTGAGGTAAACTGAATGCCATTAAACTTCAACTGGCGCCTGGCGAAATGAATCGCATAGCCGAGCCTAATAGTTCTAAAAAGCTAGCAGGAAGGATTGGAGAGGCTTAGCCAAGCAACCAGATACCTTGCCAGCGGTCTCAAGGGAACCACGTTCGACGTACCTAGGGCAGGGTTTCTGCAGCCAGGTGGACCAAAAGGTGCTGTGGTAGGAGGTGAAACATCCTGAGGAAAAAACAGCACCTTGCCGGCAGACATGCCATCAATGGATGAGGGAACAAAGGTTCGCCAACATGCATCGAGTTGGCTGGATGACAGACTTGTTGCATCAGAATGTGAGGAGACAGAATGCCTGTGTCCGAGCAGGCTCTGATGCATAGTTTCAGCATCTGGCCGTCGCAACTGGGAGGGCCAGAACCGCTGTGACTTAGAGAAGGAGGAAATTGCTCTTTTATTGACAAGGTGGTGGCTTCCTGCGAGTGGTGGGCCGTGGTTGGGCTTGACTGCAGGCCCAGGCTGTTTTGGGGCCTTGGCAGTCCTCACCGGACTGTGTTTAATGGTTTCCGTCTGCTTCTTAACCATTGAGAACTGCTGCGCAAATTCTTCCACAGTGTTGCCAAAGAGACCAACCTATGAAATGGGGATGTCAAGAAAGCAAACTTTCTCTGCATTTGACATCTCAGCCAGGTTGAGCCACAGGTGGCGCTCCTGGAACACTAACGTGGACATTGCACTACCCAGAGCCTGCGCTGTGACTCTCATAGTCAGTCACCGAGCGCAGTTCCTGCAATACCTCTGCACTGTAAAAAATGACCGTGAATTTAACGGTAAAAGACTGTAAAAATGCTACAGTAAAAACCTGTTAAATGGTTAACGGTAAATTCCCCTACTATATACGGTGAAAAACTGTATTGGACATTACATGTATTGGACATTAATACCGTATTTTTAACGGTAAAATTCCGGCAACCACAGCTGCTGGTTTTTTACCGTAAATTTTACGGAATTTTTTTTACAGTGTGGGTTAGGACAACCCTTGTGCAGATCTTTCAATGCCTTGGCCTGGTAGACCTGCAGAATGGCAATGGCGTGCAGGGCGGACACAGCTTTTCCAGAAGCTGTATAAGACTTCGCCACCAGGGATGAAGAAAACTTACAGGCCCTGGATGGGAGTCGCGGGCGGCCCCACCAGATGGCAGTGTTTTGCAGGCAAAGATGCACCACAGTCGCCTGGGCACGACTTAGTGTTGCACTCAGCACCCAGAAACCAATCATCTAGCTGCGAGCACTCGGGACAGGGTGGAGGAGTCCACTCAAGCCTGATGCTTTTGGCTGCCCGGGCAAGCACGGATGCAACAATTGACAGCTCACCCTCTTCACAAGCCCCAAATGAGAGATTGAACTCTCAAACTCATCTGAAAGCTCTACCGGTAGGCACGAAGTGTGGGAGGAGCATGAAGCCTGCAGGGATTCCCCTGGCAGAACCATTCTCGCTTCTCCGAGCTCCTCCATAGCGGACTTTGCTGCAGCTCAATACTGAAAAGTAGAAGGACCAGAGCGGCAAGCGCCCGGGATGACTCAAAGTCTTTTGGCAAAGAACCAGAGCCACGAGCACAGCGTGCTGATGGAAAGTGCCTCGCACTCGGGGCACGAGCCATCTACGAGCGCTGCTTCAGCGTGAGCACAGCCCAAACACTGAACGCAAAGCTTGTGCGAAGGAAGAGATATGAAAACCACAACCAGAAGCACACGGGTGGAAAGGCATGATATAAACACACACAGTTCAACCAGTGAAGCTCTTTGAGAGAAATTGCTCTTTTGGGAGGAAATTTGCTCTTAAAGTTTGCTGTTGAAAAAAACAGAACAAGCAAGCAGATGCTACGATGGCCTATTTATACCTGGATGTCTGGGCAGCTATGCAAAATCTGCTCACCAATTTTCATTGGCCTTTTCTCAATGATGTCAGAGGTGTTTGGGCACCCAACAGTTTTTAAAATGCCTTCAGTGAGTCAAGGGCTAAACAAAAAGGCCTCTTTTGTTCCAAAATGCTGTAAACTTTGGATAATTTATGCCAGGGGCGTAGCCATAATTTCAGAAGTGAGGGGGACAGAAATGTCAAATGTAATAATACCTTTTTTGTCTAATTGTCAGATTGTATTTATTTATTTATTTTCTTATCTCTTACTTTTAATTGACTCAGAAATCAAATAAACCGCTGGACAATTACCAATACTTTGTATTCTGTAATATTTTTTCTTATATTTTCCTAATGGCAATTTTATGAATTGTTCTACACTTTTTTTCTTTTTTTATCACAGAATAAGGCAGAAAATATATTTTATAGTTTCTATATGCTACTGCAATAAATGATATTTCAGTTAGCACTGCATTATTCAGATACTTTATTATCCAGAAATGACTTGAAAAACACACAAAAGCCATAGCAATCGTGCATGTACACAGCAATAGCTGGATGCCTTTGTTCAGGGATTTCCTGGCACCTCATAAGTTATTACTTCTATGAGTCCGTTTAGAAATTTCTGCGCAAGAGCGCCCTCCAGCTTTGAGCTGAATGGAACACACACTTCAGAACAGTGTTCAGTGCTCAGTAATGTTCACAATTTGTTGGGATCGTTTACTGACATTATTTGGTAATTGCTGGAAAGCTTTGAAACTGATACCGCTTTAGTGGGCAACAGTAGGAGAATAGCCGATAGCCTAGTGGGCAGTGTGCCAACATGTCACGCCGTTGCATTACAGAGTTTGAATCCTGGCTCGAGGACCTTTCCCACCCCACTATCTCTCTCCCAATTGCTCCCTGTCTCTGCTACACTGTCCTATAGTAATAAAGGCAAAAAACACCAAAAATAAATTTGGCAGATGTGTGCATTTTTTTTCCAAAATACATAATTTGGTTGGGAGAGATTTAAAACGTTAAATTAGGATTTAATATTTGACTAATATGCACTAATATTAGGTATAGCTTATTCTTTTAAGATCCAGATATTTGCATATGTACAGTAATAATAAATCTAGATAATAAATAATCACAGGGCACAAATGCTTCAGATGCATAAATTGACAAATTGTTTAATAGCAACTAAAATGCATAATGCATAAATGTATTATTTTTGATTTAGGAAAACAATAAGATTTTATTACAATAAAGTGATAGAAAAACAGGAAAAGTGTCAGTATTAAATCTGTCTCGCCATATATTCCAGTGTACAATACTTCAGCCATTAGCACTTCAGATCATCGCCTGAAAAACAATAGGTTAATCATTTTTTTTTATCAAGCAATCAAAGCAAACATATCTATTTATATCATAATATTACATTCATATCCGTTCTTTATACATAATTTTAATATGTTGATTTGGTGCTCAAGAAAAAATTTAAATTATTACCGATGATGAAAACCATTTTGATATTTTTCAGGATTCTTTTATGAATATAAAGTTCAAAAGAACATTTGAAATAGTTATTTTAAACATGTAAATGTCTTTAAATTCAGATTTATGAGTTCAATTATAAAAAAAATACTAATGGAGTTTTAGATAAAAATTTATTGTACTTACAGTAGTGTTTATGCACATGGGGAGGTGTAGTCAATCACAGACAATTCACCTGGAGGAATAAAAACACAACCTAGTTTTTTTATGCACTACATTGTTTAGCTTGTCTCAATAAAATGAAAATGCATTACGGTAAAATTAAATACAGGCTCGTAAAGCATAATTACGCAATGCTTATATCATGATGTCACTAAGATTTATAAAAAAAAAAAAAAACATTAAAATGGAAATTGTTTTTCAGATTTTTGTTATGATTTATTTTTTCTATTATTATGTTATTATTTATTATATTTTGCTGGGTTTATAATAAAAACCCTATATTGTATTTCAGAGTGCACAGTGATGAATAAACACGTACTGATCTTGTAGTAGTCATATACGGTCACTACAGCTGGTTTCAGGTTCTGCACCGGTACTTCCTGCATGAGCTTCAGGCTGATGGACTTCTCCTGATTCTTTTTCAACTGGAATGGAAGAGAAAGTTATTATTACATTATGATTATAGAGAGATTTATGTTCTATGGGGTATTGACATACAGTATAAAAATGTGTTAAAGGAATAGTTCACCCCAAAATGAGAATTTGTTGAAAATGTACATGTAGTTTATTTCTTCATAGGAACAGTTTTGGAGAAATGTAGCATTACATCACTTACCAATGGATCCTCTGCAGTGAATGGGTGCCGTCAGAATGAGAGTCCAAACAGCTGAGAAAGACATCACAATAATCCACACAACTCCAGTTCATCAATTAATGTCTTGTGAAGTAAAAAGTTTGTTTGTAGTAAACAAATTCATCATTAAGATGTTTTTAATTGTTGCATCCAGCTTCAATACAAGTCCTCTATTCATAATATTGTTTCCTGTAGTGAAAAAGCTGTCTCATCTGAATCAGGAGAGAAATATGCACAGATCAAGAACTGTTTACAAGTAATAACAGTTCTGTCATGACAACTCTCGGAGGGATTGGCATGGTAATGTACATGACAATGTTAATGTATTTGGTCTTGGCGGAATAGATCTGCTACGCTGCTGCTGCGGCAGAGCAAGTACCGAGACTTTCTACTGCCAAAACATCCACAACATTCTGCTATGAGCATGTAAGAAATATTGCTGCTGCAAATATAACATACATGAAATAACCCCCATATAGCGTACATGAATCACCTCATAGCAGATCTATACAGGTGGAGCTGGGGAAGGTGGAGGGTTTCTGAAGCAAGCTGCAACTGCAAGCACTAATCATATATTTGAATGATGAGCAGTGAGCTCATTGGCTACCAAAATGCAACTTTTCACTTCACAAAACTTTAACTGATGGACTGGAGTTGTTGTGGATTATTGTGATGTTTTTATCAGACATTCTGACAGCACCCATTTACTGCAGAGGATCCACTGGTGAGCAAGTAATGTAGTGATACATTTCTCCAAATCTGTTCTGATGAAGAAACAAACTCATCTACATCTTGGTTGGCCTGAGAGTGAGTACAATTTCAGCCAGTTTTCATATTTGGGTGAACTATTCGTTTCAGTAAACAGGGTCAGTTTATCCCTTTTATTGTCAAAATATTAGTGATCTATCCCAAAAAGGGTTCAAACCCCTCAAGGTATTTGAATAAAACATTTACACTATCCAAATAGAAAATGACATGATCCTCATCCAGATCCAGACGTTTGATTGTGGGGTCTTCCCTCAGCTGTGGAGACAGAGGAGTGAGTGAGAACGAATCAAACCCTGGCTACACAACTTGATATTAAAAGAGGACCAGAGCCCTTCAAGTGTCACTCACAGCCTGCAGAGACGTCTCATCTGGCTTAAACCCCGACAGCAGCCTGACGTTAATGATCACCATGTTGGTCTCCGCTCGTGTGCCGCTATACCTGTCATGTAATCGTTCCAACAATCACAAACAGGGTTCACAACCACACCTTGTTCTGTATGTAGTCTGGCAGACAGCAAAGAGTCTATTAGGCCATAAAGTAGGTTGAATCTTTATTCATTCTTTCTTTATAGCATCAAATGGATATGTTAAGTTACTAATTAATTTAGCAATATATTTGCAGTGGAATTTATTACAGCTGTCTGCAAGACTTCTGTACATAATTTTTATAGATATTATCATTCAAAGTTTTTGTTGTTGTTGTTGTTTAAAGAAGTCTCTTATTCTTACCAATAATTTAATCAAAAATACAGCAAAATAATGATTACTACAATTTAAAATAACTGTTTTATATTTGAATATTTTTAAAATGTAATTTATTCCTGTGATGGCAAGGCTGATTTTTCAGCAGTAATTACTCCAGTCTTTAGTATCACTGGATTCTTCAGTAATATGCTGATTCGAAGCTCAAGAAACACTCCTTATGTGCTTAATATTATTGTGGAAACTGTGATACTTTTTTCAGGAATTTTTGATTAACATGAATACAAATTAATACAAAAGAACAGCATTTATTTGAAATATGAATATTTTACATTTATATTTATATTGTCTTTACCGTCACTTTTGAGCAATGCATCCCTTTAAATAATGACAGCGTGCATAGTAATTACTTAAATAAGAATGCTAAAATAATGATGTAACATTAAATTTGTTTCACAAATTCACATGTTGAAAGTATAATACATATAAGGGACAGTAGTTGTTGTTTTTTTTCTAACAGCAATGTGGCTCACCTTACAGTAGTGGTTAGTGTAAAAGCTGGGTTCTTTGTGTTGCTGCAAACCCCAGGATTTGATTTGATTTTGAAGGCCAAAGAGTCTGGAGGAGGTGGGATATTGTAGTGCAAGGCAAACTGAGAGACAAAAAAACACAGAATGATGTCAAAGACGAGGTGATTTACATCACTTTTATAGTCATCAGTATCCTTATGTAATTCCAAATCCTTATGACTTCCTTCTGTGATCCATTGAAGAAAGTAAGTCATACAGGTTTGGAATGATATACAGGTGAGTAAATGATGAAAACTTTCATTTCTAGATGAACTATTCCTTGGATTTCTCAATATGTGCATCAAAAGAGGTGCACAGACCTGCACAAACACACAGCCTTTGCCTTCTGCCCTCAGCTTGTATGTGCCAGTAGCTTCCTGCAGCTGTTTCTCCTGGTAAAGCAGCCGGTTGTTCCGGTTCACAGTGAACTGGTTCCTCTGGCCTAAGGGGGAGGTCACGGTTACGGTAATGGATCCTTCTGGATTGTAGGTGGCAGCACTGTACTTAGCGAGGGCCTGGAGTGCTACAACAGTATCCTGTTCACAGAGAGAGAGGGACGACACCACTTACAGTCAATAATGATAAAACACATTATAAAGACAGAAAGGGGTCTAAAAAAAGCTGCATGAGATAAATAACACCTGTGTAGAGGAGAAGCCTCCATACGCGTTCTGCTTCTTGGTTAACCAGTGCACTATGCCAGCAGAGTAGTTCAGTCCAAATCCAGGGAGTGTGGGTCCCGAGAGCAGCGCCAGCAACACATAGGCACTCATCTCTACCTCCACAGAGCCCCATGGTTGCGCATTATTATCCAGAGTCCAGTATCGTCCAACACCTAAAATAATCAGGGCAAGGAAACTGGAACATCGAAGGCTGGTGGTTGTGTTTATTATTAAAAGCAATGGGATAATCTAGCTCAGGGGTTTTCAAACCAGGGTCCAAAGAAATTAGTATTGGGAGTACACAGAAAAATGTTAAGAAGAAAATTATAATATATATTTTTTATTATTTTGATTTGTTCCCGGGTCAATATCACCAAAGAGTGCCTTTCAACCCTCACAATACTCACAAATTTTGGTTTCAATTTCCCATTCACTTCATGTCATATCATTTAGCAATATTAACTACAAATGAATGCTGTCCACCCTGTCATGTATCATGTATGTGTCATGAGTCTAAGTGGCCGACAGGGTGGACATTTTGAGCTTCAGTTAGCATATTAGCTTACAACAAACTGTGATTAGCTAAATATTTAGTCTGGTTGTTGAAGAGAATTTGGTATATTTAAACATAAATATTTTGAAAATACTGTATTCGAATCACTTCTGGCATATTTTATGCCGACAGGGTGGACATAAGCAAAGTAAGCAAACTCATATGAAGAAAATTTGTCAATCGAAAAGTCACCAACTTACTCACCTCAGCCATTGAAATTCCCGCCACTGAAGAGAAAAAAAATCTGTTGTCCTGTTGTCACTAAAGGGGATGGCCTTTTCTTAAAGGGGCGGATTCCCCAATACGACAGGGTGGACAACCATTCAAGGGACATGGACAAACTCTTCTTTTTTTATTAAATAAAAATATAGTTTTTATTACCAAATGATCAATACACTCAAATTGAGTAATCTCTTATTAAGCAAAATATTAATAGGAGATTTTTTTTTTTTAATTGTATGATTTGACAATATTCTACTATCATTCAAATTTAATGAGCAGTGCATGGGACATAGCAAAAAAGCAACATCCTCTTACACAAAACTAAAAAAAAATCTAGAAAATGTATCTAAACAACCAAGTAATGATTTTGTTATGAATATAAAAACTTAGCCTAATATAACAGCACCAAGTTATCATGGCAAATGAGTTATTTATGTACAGGACACCAAAAGGCACCATACAGTGATATTGACCTCCCCTGTTTTAGTTAAATTGTGGCCACAATATAACTAAATTAAAACAAGGGAACTAGTTAGTACAATGTGGCCATGATTTAACTAAAACAAGGGATGAATTAATAAGATGTGGGAATAAATTAATAAAATGTGGCCACAAATGAAGTTGTGGGAACAAATTCTTAATTTACGATATCTGTTTTTTCTTCAGCATGTCATGCACGGCATATAAAATATATACTGTAGAAGCCTTTCTATTTTTATTTTTTATTTTTTTTGGAACCATATACTTTGCACATCCTTATAAGTTTTTTAGTATCTTTAATTGTCTTCTTTAATCTAAAGCTGAATGGTACCTTCTCTCTTGGCCTGCTGGTCCAGGTTGGAGAGGAGGCTCCGTCTCATCTGTTCATCTGCAGCAAGAGTGAATGTGTAGGACAGCAAAGCAGTCGCATAAGTGTTGGCGATGTTATTGGAAGATTCCTTCAGACATTTAAGGCTTTTCGACACCATGGGATCCTTACAAAGCACACAAGAGACTTAATGAGTGTCTGCTTCCTTCATTAGTCACATTATCTGTATTGAGTTATCTGTGACTAGAGTCCATCTCTTTGGAGCCATAAAGAGGGTTTTACTCACAGTTTTCGGGACGCCTAACTCCAGCAGCGCTGCGGTGATGTATGCAGAGAGAGTGACTTCATCGCTGACGCCACCCTGTGAGAGGAAAAGCATCATCAAAGATACTTCCCACCCTCAGCATTTCAATCTCCTCAATGTGTTGCCATCTAACAGATATTTTCAGATTGTGAAATCCAGAACCACCAGACTAAGGAGCCGTTTTCCTCTCCATAAATGACTCTGATCCATTACCTCTCCCTGCAATCATCTCCTCATCCCACTCCACACTATTTCTATTTTCTAAAACTGTTTGCTATATATTTCTCTATTTAAATGTAACTCAAAGCATTACTTTTTCCTAAGAGTTGTGGTAAGAGTTTAGAAATGTAATTTTACAGTGTGCCCTGTTTTGCAGATGACATTAGAACGTCAAAAAATGTTCTCCTAATTGTTGACTTACTTAACATATGTAAAAATTTGTCTCTTTTTCAGTTTTTAAACAATACATATTATTACATTGTTTATATAGTCTCTTTTAATAATGAGCATCACTAAAACATGCTAAATTTATGCTTAAACTTAAAGTTTAAATTATTTTGCCAATGAGATAGTCTATCTGAAGCAGTGAAATCTATGGACATTCTTCACCTGCCTCCCAAGACACACACACAGTCTTGTTGTATAAAACACGGTTATACAATAAGCCCTCCTGCACACTGCAAAGAAAAGCCCTGCAGATACCAATGTTCAGTTCACGTGAGCCATAGGCGGATATCCGGGGGGGAGGGTGGACAGGACCCTCCTGAGGGTTGTCCCCCCTAAAAATATGATTAAAAACCACGCTATTAATTGTGTAATATAATAATTAAAATAAATAATTATGTAAGTAGGAAAACAACACAAACGCAAACGGGGCAAATGTGCGGTTTAGAAACATTTTGATTCTCCCCCTCCCTTGTCTCACAGTGCTTTGGTCCAAACGCCTGCTTTCTCTTTCACATCACCTATACACTCACAAGTCCAGTGAGAGAGAACAAAGTCAATATTTGTGGAGCTCCAAGGCTGTCAAGGCTATTTTATTCACTTAAACATCGGATGAAGTGATTATTTTCTCTTTAATACAGATGATGCCAATGTATTTTTCGATGAGTCCGCTATGTAAGCAATAAAAACGTTACCTGCTTGACGGAAAGGGTTGCCAGGTTTTCACAACAAAACCTTCCCAATTGCTACTCAAAACTAGCCCAAACTAACCGCATTTCGAGGGGGTCCCCCAGTAAAAATCGTGTTCCAGGGGGTAAAAATACACGTTATTGGGGTTGCTTCAACCCGCGGCAATAGTGATAAAGTAGCCCAATTCCCGGGAAAACTACAGATTTGGCAACACTGTGACGGGCAGCAATGTCTATAACGGACACAACCGCTGTCGCGGCGCGACCACAACAGCTTGAAGTTGTCTAATTTGCACTAAAAGTAGTAAGAATTTCCTCTGTGTATACATATCCTTACAAGTACAATTTTAGTTGTATTATTCGTGTCCCCTTCAAAAATTGCTCTTGAGAAATTGTATGTTTATTGTCCCCCCCCAACTGTTAAATTAAATTTACGCCCCTGATGTGAGCTGTCAACACCTATCAAATTAAAGGAGTCATATGATGCTATTTAAATTTTTCCTTTCTCGTTGGAGTGTTACAAGCTCTTGGTGCATAAAGAAGATCTGTAAATCGACGCGTTTCAGAAAGGCGGGGCATAGAGGAGAAACAATAATGTACAGTATGTGGAAAATAATGTGTTTTTTTAACCTTAAACCGCATAAACACATTTCATTACACCAAATACACAAAATAATGTTCTTTTTAGCAGCATCATATGACCCCTTGATAGAAAGGGGTATGTTATTAGCTGACCAGAATATTTCAGCTGAAAGAGAACAGCTGATTTGCTTGGTTTGAGCTGGTTTAGCTGGCCTCCCATTCTGGTCAATCTGGTCTTCCATCCTAAAAGCCAGCCACAATACCGGTCAAAAGTTTGAAAAATTAAGATTTTTAATGTTTTTGCTCACCAATGTTGCACTTATTTAATCAACAATACAGTAAAAAATTTTTAAATATTATTACATTTTAAAATAACTGTTTTCATCAAAAGAGGCTTTTAAAAACACTTTAATTATTCCAAACTTTTGACCAGCAGTGTAGACTACAGTAAACCAGCTGGGACTTTAGGCTAGTTTAAAATTGTTTTTTTTCCCAACAGCAAATAAAGGACCTGAGCATGGCTCTCCTGTTCTCACCATCATTCCAATATGGTAGAGTGTCCCAACAGAGGCGAAGCAGCCGTTGTCCTGTTGCTGTTGACCCAGCCATTCCTTTGCCTGATCGATGTTAGTCTGATCTATAAATGTATAATTCCTTGCCCCACTAAAACTCTTCATCACAAATGCAGTTAGCCTGAGGAAACAATAGAAATTGCTGTCAAATACCCATAATTTGGTAACTCTGCCTCAATAGTTTTCAGGATGTTTCCTTGTGCAAAGTTCATGTGGACTAGGTTTTCCCTATTCCAGAAACACCTTCTTAACAGAAGGCCGTTAAATCCACATACAGGAAGACAGAATCCACACAGTAAGACAACTAAGTTGAGTAACTAAATGCTTTCATTGTCTCTGTACCAGACTCACCAGGTGTTACCAGAAGGATCATTCCTCCCAAAAGCGCTGTAGGATCCATCATCATGCTTGTATGTCAGCTCTCTCTGATAGCCTGCAACACAAGAAAGAAAAAAGTCTGATATGCTTGATTATATCAACTGGACCTTTTGTTTTTTTTAATTAATTTAAGTTCGATATTTCTCTCATTAAGTTTTGATTCACCACTGAGTTGATTCATCTGTCAAATCCAGCTAATGGAAAATACAAGAGGAGCTCTGATGAGCTAGCTTGAAAAAAAAAAGTTAAAAAAAATAACTAATTGTCTGTAAATTGATATTGTTAAAATATCGCTATTTTTATTTATTAAAAGAAAAACAAGACTGCAAACATTAATTTTATAATCAGAATTTTTTGATTTCCTTTCAAGCAAAATATTTAAACATTTGTATTAAAAAAATTATTTACTGCATCTTCTATTTTATAACAGTTTTCCTCACCACTCTCCAGGAAGGTTATGGCTCTGTCTTTTATCTGAGGAGTGAGTTGCCTGCTGCTCTCCAGGTATTGAAGGATGTAGATATTGGGGGCAAAAAGCAGCATGTTCTGCTCTCCACAACCATACGGCATAGCCAACAGATCACCAATGTTCCTCAGAGCACGACCCATCAGATCACCTACGGACCAAACAGCCAAATAACCCTCAGTATAATTTAAAAAACAACCCAGAACAACCAAATGAGAGCAGTTCTATTGATTACATAGTGTTTAACATTTTAATACTTATATTATACAGTAATCAATGTACATTATGTACATTTGTCAACATATATTTTACAGTAGGCTCACCCAGAACAGTGATAAAGCTTTTTGCAGAATCCTTGACAAACACTTTGGGTAGAGTGAGAGAAACAGATGTGTCCTGTGGACGGTCTAATGGAATAGAAAAAAAAAACATCAGGTTCAAAACATGTGGTCATGCTGTACTTTACTACAGACAATCATTTTCTCCAATCTTGTGAAAACGACACAGGATTTAAAAGCTGAAATTGGAAGCTTTTTTGTTAAAGCTTTTTTGAAAGTATTTTAACATTTATCCAGTGTAATACCTTGCATCATTGACTTCCACTGTAAGTGCATTAACGTAAACAGGATTTTTGCTTATTTTTACAAACAGGTGGTCAAAATTTTTATCTGTGGTATGTAGTAACTGACAGCATGTTACAGATGTCAACTTCTATTAAAGCTGGAATATTCTTTTTCTACTTTTAATTGACAGCACAACACACTATAATGCCACTAACCTGCTAAGCAGATGAGCTCATTCTGAGTGATTGACTGTTTAGTTCCTTCCGCCTGAGAAAAAAAAATGGTTAATAACAGTTTCAATTGTTAGATAGATAGATAGATAGATAGATAGATAGATACTTGATATAGTATTAAATTTACAATAAACATTTAACTATTAACTATCTTAACTATTTTTAAGACCCTAAACAATACCCAAATAGCTTTTATCTAAAGGAGTGTTGTTGTTTTTTCCTTTAGAACAATGTTTCAACACAGTATGACCAGGAATGTGTATTAAGAAAGTAATCATGGTTTCTGAAAGCTCACATACAGTAAAGGCACGCACCTGCACCAGAACGCTGTGCATCACAGTATCAACTCTGCCTTTGTCTGGCAAAGTTACCACTTCATTTCCACACAGTTCTCGGCTCTGGACCGCCTCAGCACGCACTGTAATGTTCACCTTTCCTGTAAAACACACACACACCAGTGACTGTGGATTTAAGTCACAGAAGAAACAAAGTACCCTGGGCCTGGGGCCTGCAATAATAAACAAATCTGTGACTGTCAAGGCAAGACATGTTAAAAGGAAAGTCCACCCAAAAAAATTAAATTCTCTCATCATTTACTCACCTTCATATCATTTCAAACCTGTATGTCTTTCTTTGTTCTGCGGATAAGATATCTTGAACAAAGTCGTTAACCAAACAGTTTTAGTTCCCATCGACTTCCATTATGTGTTTGATAACCATAACCAACATTCTTCAAAATATATTTTGTACCAGCAGAAAAAATCATTTCTTTTTGGATGAACTATCCCTTTAAGACATTCATATTATAAGTGTAATACCATGTTCTGGTAGAAACGTGAAATAAACTCTTCAGTTTGGGAAAGTAAATTGAAATAAAAATGAAATTTCTATTAGTTTTTGCTCATACAGAAGTCAAAGTATCTGGCTTACCCAGGACAGAGGGTGAAACAATCCACTGGAAGGTTTGGCTCTCTTCAGAGCAAACACACTGAGTGTAAGTGCAGCCTTTGCACGGCTGAGCTGTGAACTGCGCTGAGTTTACCAGCGTGACCTTCACCTTTATTAAAAGAAATTAATTTTTACAGTGTCAGCCTACAGAAAACGCTTTTGCTACAAAACCGCTCCAGGAAAAACAAGTAAACACATTAAGGGGGCTTACCATGATACATTTGGGGAGGTAGTTGAATACAGTGGCTTTGAGAGTGAACGTCTCCTCACGGATAACAGAGTAAGGGAGGGCAAGGCTCACAAAGAAGGGCTTGAAAGCAGTGAGATTAGTCTTGGGGGCCACTCCAAACCCGACAGGGGATGTGCAGAAGGCCCCTGCTGCCCATTTAGTGATGGTGTCTGGGACAATCTTTGCAAAATCCACAGATCCTGATCTCCTGGTGAAAACAAGAATATATAGTGTTTTTGTATAATTAAAAATAATTGTACAGTATATATACAGTAATGCCATGGTGCAGATTCATACCCCACAGGTATAAGATCCCATATCCAGGTTTCTGGAAAGAATTCGCGGATCTCCTCAGCAGGATTTCTCACACCTGGAGAATCTACCCTTACGCAAAGAAAATATATTTCCTAATATATGAATGATCAAAATATATTAAATGACATAACGGTATATTATAAATTATGCAGAATAATACATTGTGTAAATATATTACAATGTATTGAATAATAGATAAGCAATTGCCGCTTTCATATACTGAAAAATATGTGACAATATATTTACTTATATATCACAATATATGTAATTTTATATTCAGTAATACACTTTATAATATATAGATGTACATGTAATAAGATATGGTATACTGCATGTGTAAAAATATATTGAACATATATTTACTCATGCCGTATATACACATATATATGGAAATATATATTTCATATATATGTTTCATATTTTAAAATCTAGCTAGTTTACAATAGCATAACCACACCTGCTCATACTAAACACTTAGTTCACTGTGCTGAAAAGTGCACAACCATAATTTTTTAAATAAAGTAACATAATTTAATGGTGTTTGGCCAATTGTCATCCTAACCAGTCTCTCTACTCTTCTGCACAATGGTAACCTCACAAACTTACACATACCAGAAACCCTTTTACATTTCAAAATAATTAACAACAACATTAAACACTAACAGATCTCCCCCTATATTAATATTGAGAAATACACATGACACTTAATTTAAAAAAATTTACTCTCTTAACAGTCAGAAGCAAAGCACGCTGGGAACTAGAAATCTGCTTTAATTCATTAGGAGAATGTGTTTATATATGTGTGTACATACATTGACATTTTTATGGGAACATCTACAGTATGTGCAATATAAACTTAATAAAGGATCAAACATCATGAATATTAGATTTATCTTTGTCTTCATTTCTAAATATATTTGTATGTATCAATATATAGCCATATACTGTCAATACAGATATTGATGTGTATTGAAAAATATAAGCACTAGTTTCCAATATATGGAAATGTATTATTTAACATATCTCATTATATTTTACAGTATATTCCCATGTATTTTTATTCCATAAGGGTACCGGCGGCGCTCAGATAAATGGTATTTCCAAATCCTTAAAAAACAAGTTACTTACATCGCATCACCTTGTCATTATCACAAACTATAGGTGCTTTCACGTCAGAGTTGGTAGCGATTTTGATTCCAACTGCCTAGGAAAAAGCAAGTGTTATGTTACTGTGTGTACAATGGATAGTGTACAGTAAGAATCAGATGACACTGAAAGACCTCTGAAATACAAAATGGGAGATTTTGTGTATCTTACTCTAAAGATGTTGTAGACATCATTTTTGTCGGCGTAGTAAGGGTAATAGAAGCGGGAGCGCTTGCGCCTTGCAGGTTCAGCAAGTGGGACTATCACCTCCCAGGGAGGACGGCAGGGGTTAGGCTCTCTCTCCTCAATGTTGTATGGGTAACCTGACAAACTCTGGACTGGTAACATTCCAAAGACCTGTATAATAATAACAGATATTGATCCGTAGGACTGACACTGAAGTCTCCTAATAATTAATCAAAAATCATAATTAAACATGTTAAAAATTGTATAAAAATCTAGTGTATAACATCTAGTAAATCTAGTTGTATTCATATATGTTTTATGTGGTTCTGAAAAAACATGTACACCATTTTTAATTTAATGATTCAAAAAATGTTATCCACCAAGTAAAAAGTAAAAACCTTTTTTCATACACCTAATGAACTTTGTTTTTAAAAATTCTTTCAAAATATTAATAGGCAGTGAAGCAGTTTTGTTAATATATTTTTTCATTAAAACATTGTTTTATTATATATATTATATATATAATATTTTTTTAAATAACATTTTAATGTTGTGATGTAACCACCTTGAAAAAAGTAATATCATATTTTTCACTACACCATATGATTTTTAAAAAAATATTAATGAGCAGTGAAGCAGTTGTTAAAAATATTTTTGAAACATTAAAATATTGTTAAAATATTGAAAAAATAAATATATTTTTAATGTCATGTGGTGTAACCACCAAGTAAAAAGTCATAATATATTTCCACACATCACATAATTTTCTACACAAATTATATTGGTGTACCTGTAAATATCTAAATAGGTCTTGATTTACAAGACTAAACTTGCCTTTTAAAGTTTGGAAGCTTTCCATATTGCTATCATTTATAATTGTGCAAAGTGAGGTACTTGTTAAAACCTATGATCCGTCGTCCCTCGTTTAAAGTCTGGGTCATGTGCCAGCCAATTCAAGATCTGAATTTGCTTCTCCAAACGAATCTCCTTTATTACTGTAAACAAGATTTTCAAACTAAATTGAATTATCGGATTAAGACAATGGTTCTGCATTCGGAAGTTAGATTTTTTTTTAACCTATTAAAGCCTGAAATGGCATCCCTTTGATCTCACTTTCTATTTCCTTCCATTTTGTTTCCACCTCTAAATCACACCAATATACCAGTGGTCTTCACTGTGTGGCATAGTAGTAATCTTTGAGACTGGGGAGGGTCATACCTCCTTTACTTGTATCCATTTGAAAAGTTTTTATATCTAATTCTTGGTTCCCTTCCGAGGGAACATCGAACTGAGTCCTCTAGCGGTCGCTATGGGAAATGCCATCAGCGTTTTTTCTTCTTCTTTACCACGGCAAGCACTAGTAAGGCGTTTAAGTGTGTGGATCCGTGTCCTCGTTATTTGACACCTGATGACACACACGATTTTTGTCTTTTGTTTGGGCGAAGAGCACGTGCACAATGTCCTCGAGGGGACAATCTGCGTGCATTGTGAGCATTTTCCGATGAAAAAGCTCCGCTCTCATTTGTCTCATTTTTCGAGGAAAGAGGGGCAGCCATCAGTTCAGGACCCACCGCTGCTGAGGCACAGAGGAAAATGAACTCGTGGGGATCGCAGGTGGACCTGGCTGAGGAGTTGAAAAAGGGTATTTCCCTTTCGCGCTTATCGATCACGAACGAGAGTGAGCTGCTGGATGACGATGCTATTTCTCTTACATCGTCTGATCCAGTGGCTAGTGCTCTGCTGGCTCCAAGCCAGGAAGAGCAGGAGATGTCAGATGAGGACGAAGAAGTTGAGACTGAGTCCTCTCATTCCTCCTGCCCTGCGTACGGTGAGTTGCTTGAGGTTATGGAACGCGCCATGGCGAGGCTTGACTTGCCGTGGAAGCAGGCCAAGAAAGTGGCGCCTCGAGGCTGCCTCGATGAGCGTTATCTTTGTGACCATAGCCCTCCAGCTCAAGTGAGCCTTCCATTTCTTGAGTTGATCCAGACGAGGTGTTCTCAACGCTCTCTTCCAGACCAGAGTAAAACCTGAGCCATCTTCTCACCTCCCTCTGAGAGTATTAACATCTGCTCTCATCTTCCTCCCCTTAATTCCCCAAAAGCCACCCACCTGACCGAGGTTAGGTAGGAGCCTCCTGCGCTCGCATTACAGTCTCTCATGCAGGACCTATGATGTTTTGATTAGTTTCTATATCTCATAGAAATACCTACTGATGGTCCGGACCCAAGCGCTCTTCGGACTTTGCCTTCAGATTATATCCATGAGCTTGAGTCATGCGCGGGAGCCGTGGTGGGTGAGGACGATCCATTTCATCTACTCTATTGCTAGTTTATGTGAATTCACTAACTAGTTTTCCCCGCAGCGCTACTTGGACCTGTTCCTGTTTTCTGAATTGCGCTGTTTCGTGGTTGACCGATTGTGGTGATGACCTCACCCGTCGGTATCGGATCCAGGCTGGATGTTAGCCCTACATCTTCGGCTTCATGCCTACTGGACCACACAGCCAAGTCGCTGGGCTTCTGCGGTAGCCTCCTTAGCCATCAGGTCCCCGGTATTACACTGCGACCTCAGGACTTGCAGATCCTCCATTCAGGTTGAGCACTTGGAGTATATGCTTCGTGACGTGCTTCCTGGTGTCCTGGCTGGGTGTTTACTTCAAGAAGCTGCCCTGGCCAGGACTCGCTACTCATGTCTCGCCCCGAGGGGTCTCTTGAGATCTGAGTCATCCTCTCAACCATCATGCATGCTCTCTGAGCTAGAGCTCCCCTTGCTGAGGCATTGAGTGCTTAACACTCCTTAACTCCACTCTGCAGTTCGATAGATGATCAGGCCCGCAGGACCTCCCTGTCACACTGCCCTTATGGTCGAACCAGTGAATTGCCCCTCACGGAGTGGGCTTGAGTACACTGACTTCCCTAAGGTACAAGTGAGATGTGTTTCTGCGGAAACTCTTCCTGAGTGCTTCAGTTCTGAGGAGCAGTAGCTCTGTATGCATGAATGGGTCATTGGGTCCCGTTGCCTATACATGTTCTCTTTGGGCCTGGTTAAATGGGACCCATGCTCTCTATCGAGATAGAGAATATAAGACTGTGCTCAGCTGCATCAGTTGACGGTCTCTCGTTGGGCCCTGCTAGACTGCCCCTTTAAATCTAGCGCTGCCTTCTGGTCGAGCTTGGAAGTGCTCTCCTCACTGCGAGGGTTAGCTATGAGCCTGTCGCTCCCAGTTTGGCCGTGTTCCCCTGACTCCCATCGCTTCTGAGGGTGTTTTATGAGCTCGCCGGTCCTGGGCAGTTTATGTGAGTCCACCTCTCTATTTGAGAGCTAGGTACTTTGCCCCTGGGCTAATGATCGCTTCGGTCGAGCTGGGTTCCCCTCTCTTTGCTAAGGGCAGAGCCCTCCGCTCTTTGAGCTCCGTCACAGCGACATCGGGTGGTTTGGCCGCTTGCTGCCTCCCTGATAAGTTGCCCCTTTTGGCCGAGTCTAGCAATGCTCCCCTCATGCTCTTGGAGCCCCATTGAGCAGCAGCCTCAGGTTGTTAGGCCTCTCTCTGCCTCCCTGTTAGGCTGCTCTCTTTGTTGGTTGAGCTAAGCAGTGCTCCACTCACTTAAGAGGGTTACCTTAGAGCACGCCGCTCCCAACTGAGCATCTAAGGTCCCCTCTTATCGGGTCCTCAGCTCCTTGGAGCTCCATTGAGCAGCAGCTTCAGGTTGTTAGGCATCTCTCTGCCTCCCTGTTAGGTTGCTCTCTGTGTTGGTTGAGTTTAGCAATGCTCCCCTCTCTTAAGAGGGTTACCTTTGAGCATGCAGCTCCCAATTGAGCATCTGGGGTCTCCTCTCATCGGTCCTCTGCTCCTTGGAGTTTCATTGAGCAGTAGCCTCAGGTTGTTAGGCCTCTCTCTGCCTCCCTGTTAGGCTGCTCTCCTTGATTGGTTAAGCCTAGCAGTGTGCCCCCCCCCCCACCTTAGAGGGTAACCTATGAGCATTCTGCTCCCAAATTGAGCATTTGAGTTCCTCTTCTATTTTGAGAGTTGGGCCTCCGCTCCATTGAGCTCCAGTCAGCAGTCATGCCAGGCTTCTGGTCCACTGTCTGCCTCCCTGGCGGGCTGCTTTTTGGTCAAGCTAGCTGTGCTCCCCTCACCATAGAAGGTCACTTGTGAGCACGCCGCTCCCTTCTGAGCATCTGAGTTTCCCTCTCATTCGAGAGTCGAATCCTTCGCTCTGTGGGCTCCACCGGACAGCCATGTCAAGAGCTCTGCCGTCTTCTTTAGGCAGCTCTCTTGGTGAGTTCAGGAGTACTCCCCTCACCCTATTGGGTTACCTGTGAGCATACTGCTTCCTTCTGGGCGTCTGAGTTTCCTCTCTGCCTGGGATTCAAATTCTCCGCCCCAGAGCTCTGTGAGTCAGCAATACCAGGTTGTTAGGTCTCTGACTCCCTGATATGCTGCTCTTGTGGTTGCGCTTGTAGTGCTTCCCTCACTCTAGAGGGTTATCTATGAGCACACTGCTTCCAATTCGAGCGCTGGTGTTCCCTTCTCGGTCTGAGAGCTGAATGCCACATTGTGTTAAGTGTGTACGCTAAGCATCCTGCGCACTTTGTAAAATCCTGCATGGAATGGGTTATGCGCTGTCAGCCTCGTTCCCTTTCTCTGAGTTGGTCCAGGCCCCGGTTTTTCACCTTGGGCCCCACTCGACTTATCTATTCCTGGCGATACATTTCTGAGCAGGGTGTTTGCTACCAGAGATCTGCCAAGCCAGCTCATTCAGAGCTGGTGGTAGCCCCCTGGATGACAGGCCAGGGTCAGAGACTGGTCAGGGTATGCAGCTCAGGCCTTTGGCCGAAGGGGATAATGTCACTAACAGCTGTCAAGGCGTCCTATAGGGGCATGCACTCCCCTCAGCATGGTGGCGTGGATATACCATTCCACATAGCGACCGCTAGAGGACGCAGTTCGATGTTCCCTCAGAAGGGAACGTCTCAGGTTACGTATGTAACCATGGTTCCCTGAGAAGGGAACAAGACACTGCATCCTCTAGACGTCTTGCCATGCTTCGGACGCGAGCTTCAGTGACGTCATAAGCTGTCGCCGACCAATGTTATTGTCGTGTTTAGATGTATGCTTCAGACACCAGTCACGCTGAAGGTGTTCCCCATAGCGACCACTAGAGGATGCAGTGTCTCATTCCCTTCTCAGGGAACCATGGTTACATACGTAACCTGAGTCGTTATCCTCCCTTCCAAATGAATCTAGAAAACTGTTTATCCCAGTCATGAAACTTGTCTTAGGGCTTTTCCACTGGGAGTGCTTGGAAAAGGTATAACAATCTCAGGAGCACATTCATTTTTATACTTTCAATTCTTGAGCTAAAATCTAAGGGCAAATTAGCGCGAGAGCGCAATTCCAAAACGGCACCGATGGGCATGGAAATTTCTTCGGGAGATTTACTAATTTTTTACTCATTTACATATTGGCCAATGCAATATACCAAGCGCAGCGCAAATTAGAGCAGTCGCAAATAAAGAATAAATAAATAAAGAAGCCACAGTACGTTGAAAAGAACTGGAGCCCCCCCAAAAAAAATGAAGCTAGAAGTTGCGAGAAGTATTGATAGACCTGGTATTGCGTGACTCCTAGTTGAAGGTTTCAAGTTGTCTTTTATTTCCTGAAGCCAATTAAAAATAGCATGGCTTGGCAAATTATATTTTTGTGTTCTTCTTGCATTCCAAAAAAAGTTAATATGTGTGGAAAAAATCCTCTCCCTTTTACCACGCGCTCTCTCTCCTCTGCGGTGCCTTCTCCTAGCAACAGTTTAAGAGTTTAATAGTTTAAGACAGGGCTGTCCAAACTCGGTCCTAGAGGGCCGGTGTCCTGCATGGTTTAGCTCCAACTTGCCTCAACACACCTGACTGGAAGTTTCTATGCCTAGTAAGAGCTTGATTAGCTGATTCAGGTGTTTATAATTTGGGTTGGAGCTAAACTCTGCAGGACACCGGCCCTCCAGGACCGAGTTCGGACAGCCCTGGTTTAAGACATGCTTTTTGGGCGTTAAATAATGGCGCAAATACCAGTAATTTGACAAACGCTAACGTTAATAAATCTCGTTGCGTGATTCATTTGAATACGCTCCTTCCATAAATTTTGCGTCTGAAAGGGAAACTCCTACAAATATATATTCATAAGGTAAGGGCAAAAATAACTGTCCACGCCTTTTCAGCGCTAATTCTTCACTGAGCGTCTTTAGCAAAACCTGACAGTACTATTTTAATGCCAAAAGACGGTTTGCGCTGGTGCAAGCTGTTAGTAAAACTGATCCTAAATATGGTAGGAAGGACCAACGTTTAAGATCATTTTTAATCTTTAAGATTATCTTTAATTTTTCCATTGATTACATTAGAGTTATTCTTATACAACTTTGTTAGATATTTTGTTAGCCATACTCACAGAGTTTTAAGTGAGTTGCATTTCCAGTTAATAATTAACTTATGTTTAAGTTCCTTGGTCAGGATTAAACCAAATGAAGAAATCTGAATTTTCTGTATGTTTAATTATATCCTGATAAGTGTCCATATTTAAAGAGGCTTTTTTTTCCATTATAATATAAGGACAGTTGTATCACTCTGGCATTTTTTACTTCACACTCTGACATTTACTTAATTTTTACCCCAATAAATGATCTAATTATCAATCAGTTATCAAAAAATTAAAAAACATGCTTATTATGAAAGAAGTGTATTCAACTCATTTTTGTAAATGGATCTATTTCTAGTGTATTTTTACAAAAAAAATAAATAAATAGTGCCACGTCCCTGACCCATGTCTTAAAATAGAGATTATCAATTCCTTATAGTTGTAATGTAAGTTATTGTGTAACATACAAAGGCTGCATCCAGCTCGGCCTCTGGTCTCAACAGCAGCACACTCTGATCAATGGCCCGCACAGAGCATAAGGAGCCAGGACTGGCTTTCAGGTTAAGAGATGTCCTCTCTCCAGGTAGTGCGGTGGGAGACGAGAACTTTAAGGACACCTGTAAAAGCACAGGCACGCTCTCATCACAACATAAAAACTTGAAGGGCACATTTAGTTCTGAAATGAGATTTCATGTGGGATTTTCTGACCTTGTTTGGCAAACATTCTTCAATGGGGAAGTCCATACTGTCTGCTACTGTTTCTCCATTGGGAAGAACTGTGTAAACCACCACCTGAGCGTATGGAGTCAGATTGGCTGTATTCTTCAGTGTGAATGTCACTTTTCCTTTGTTTTCTTTTATGAAAGTGAGAGAGCATTTGTGAAAACAAACAAGACACATGCTGAGACACAATGTACATAAACCATAAAAATACACTTATACAATAAGAGAACAATGTGATGGCTAATGTAAAAGAGCTGTGTACCTCTTCCGGTGTTCACATTCACAGACAGACGATCATTTTGAACCATGCTGCCTCTGGACAAGACCTGGAGAGCAGGTAGATAATTACTGTATGGAATTAGGAAACCTTCAAGAAAAATTCTTTCTGAGCCAAAAAAAAAGTTAGGAAATCATGGATATTTCAATTCTGGCCAATGCTGATAATTATTTTCATATTATGGCAGCAATAAATGGGTGATATTAAAAGTCTAAAGTACTTTGTCTAAAATTAAAAATAAAAGCTAAAATTAAGTGAATTTAGGCATCGCAATATGATAATATATAGTATGAAAAATGGATATTCATTCTGAGATTTGCTAGATTAGCCTACAGTGTAACATAACAATTGAGGAAATGAGCATGAAGGGTTTCATATATATATATATATATATATATTAGGGCTGTCAGTTTAACGCTTTAACTTATTATTAATTATTTTGATTAAAATATTTTAACGCCGTTAACGCACTAGCCCCTCCCCCAGACCTGCATCTCATCTTATACTTCATACAGTTGACTGTTGGCAAATATGATGCAGGACAACAACTCCATAAACGAAGTTATGCACTAAAATTCAAGATATTGGGGCAAAAATGCCCCTTTATGAGTTTTTGTCTCTTATTTATATCATATGATAAGCGATATCACACCAGCAGCAAGAGCAATGTCACACGAGTGCTGTTTTTGTCACGAAGAACACGAGTGCAAATCATAGAACTGTATAGGCCTAGGCTATAAGGTGCAAATGTGATTTTATACAACAGTTCCGTAAACAAGTAGTTTATATTTATATATATATAGTTTTATCAGACCATTATAGGTTTATATTGGAATATAAACCCATCAGTTGTAAGGATAGTTGTTTTTTACAGGTCCGAGCATCTACTCGTTTCACTTGAGAATTCTATCCCAACAGTCATTTATGAACACTATTTATTCCAATTACAAATTTGAGCTAAGCACTGAAATCTTGCGGTATACACTACAGTCTCTGCCCTCACGGCATCTGAGACACCAACATTTTAACGATTTATAAAAGTTGAATCATTGTCTGACCATCTGGGATTTCGTTACAGTGATTACGGTTAGGATTATGGTTTTTCGGTAATATTACATCACATCGTTGTTGTTTTCTTGTGGGATCTGATAGAGCATTTGGACTGGAAGTAGTGACGCATGATATCAGACTTAACAAGTGGATACTGGTTCGATAAACCAATAAATCTCTGCAAATTAAGAATTGGTTTCCAAGATTTGTTCATTCCCTCATTTTACAATTTGTTATAGAAGTCGTTCTATAACAAATTCATTCAATTCTATCCCTTGTTTAAGTAAACTATGGTTTAAAAAAATAAAAAAGTTTGTCAATATTAAACCTACAATGTAGAAGAAATCCAAAGTTTTCTGGCCTGTTTTCAGTGCACTGCCCTGAATGATGTAACTGGCCGTCACTGTTGCATCACTTTTACAGCTGAGCTTCTCTGGAGCCTTCGTCAACATCAGGAAACTTTTGCTTTTGGAGTAAAAGGGTCTTACGTAGAGATAACCTGGTCGGTAATATCGAAAAGCCTCAAAATCAGTCCGTTCTTTACCTCCTTTATGATGGACCTAATAAAAAAAAAGTTTGAAAATCATCAGTATACTGAACATGATGTTTATGTGTATACAGTCGCAAGAAAAAGTAAGTGAACTGTTTTCAATTTTCTGGTTTTCTGCATAAATTGGTCATGAAATTTGATTTGATTTTCACCAATGTCACAAATATCAACAAACACAATATTTCTAAGCTGATAAAACACAATCAACATCTTTCATGTCTTTATTGAGCACACTCATTAAACATACAAAGTGATGGTGGAAAAAGTAAATGCTCAATCAGGTGAAAAAGAATCCTAGAGTAACAGCTAAAGACTTGAAGGATTCATTGAAGCTGGTTATCGTTCATGAGTCAACCATACGTAAAACATTGAACAGGCATGATGTCCATGGAAGGACACCACGAAGGAAGCCACTGCTCTCCAAACAAAACATTGCAGCACACCTAAAATTCACCAAAGACCACCTTTACACTCCACAACACTACTGGGAAAATGTCTTGTGGACAAATAGAATTGTTTGGGAAGAACATGCAGCGCTATTTATGGCGTTAAAAGAGAACAGTGTATGAAAACATCATCCCAACAGTGAAGTATGGTGGAGGGAGCGTTATGATTTAGGGCTGCTTTGCTGAGGGGACTAAGAATTCCCAAGTTTATCAGGATATCCTACAGGATAATCTCAAGGTGGCTGTCTGCAAGCTGAAGCTCAGAAGAAACTGTGGGATGCAGCAGGATTATAACCTTAAACATTGAAGTAAATCTACTACAGAATGGCTTGAAAACATAAAATCCACCTTCTGGAGTGGCCCAGTCAAGCCCAGACCTCAACCCAATAGAAATGCTGTAGAATGACCTCAAGAGAGCCATTCACACCAGACATCCTAAGAATATGGGTGAGCTGAAGCAGTTCTGTAAGGAGGAATGGTCCAAAATTACTCCTGGACGTTGTGCAGGTCTAATACACAGCTACAGGAAGTGCTTGCTTGAGGTTTTTGCTGCGAAAGTTGGTTAAACCAGTTATTAAAGCACTGTTTCACTTACTTTTTCCACCATCACTTTATATGTTCAATGGGTGTGTTCAATAAGACATGAAAGATCATGACTGTTTGTGTTTTATCAGCATAGAAATATTGTGCTATTTGTGACTTTAGTGAAGATCAGATCACATTTCATGACCAATTTAAGCAGAAAACCAGGAAACTGAAAATAGTTCACTTACTTTTTCTTGAAACTGTGCATAATATCACGTTACCAAAAAAAAAAAAAAAAAAAAATCACTACTAACCTGTAATTCCACAGGTAATTCTAACCAATCCGAAGTGTCGAATGAGAAGCGGGCAGTGCCATTGATGTCTGTCATCAGTGTCACATTGACACTTTTATCACCATACTGTGCATATACAACCACTGGCTCATTTTTCATCACACTGGACTGTGGATTAGTGACCACAACCTGTTTAAAAACCAGGTAGAGAAAAACAAAACGATTACTTCACAAACAAAAGTAGCACTTCCTGTACACAATATGGCCACACTACTAATGTTCTCGCCGCAAAACAGGTTGTTTATTAATGTTGCTGCATTTTAAGAAGTTTATGGTACCACAACAAACTTTTTATAAAGATGGTTGTCAAAACACATGTGGACTGCAAAGTTACTTCAGAGAAATTGCTCCATAATTATTAGTAAAGCTAATGACCTTAAGCTAGCGGTTACCTTTCCCTTAAAGACCATGCCAGGCCTGTATGTATTTGGTGTGTCTTCATAGTAAACATTGACATAATCACTGGTAAACTCAGCTGAGGTAGAACCCTCCATAGTTATCCCTGGAGGAATAAAAGACCATGTTTAATTACTCTATTTTGGAGAGTAAAAATGGACAACAGTCATTTGTTTTACACCCTCACCTGTTCCAGACTCTTCAACTTTACTATTCACTTGGAAAGATCCTCCTGAAGTCATGCCAAATTCTGTCACATTTATCACCCGAGACCCACAGCCAGTCTTGTCAGTCTGAATGAATAAGAATGAGAAGAAATATATTTAGACATCTAAAATACATTGCGACATGGACCCTTGTGAAAAGGGACCTTGTGTGTGTGTGTGTGTGTTTTAAAAGTACTTGTTACTTATTACTTGGTGTGAACTATATTTTAAATTTATATTAAATGCAATTAGCTGAATTTTAGAGGTTTTAGAGTCTCTATATGCAATTTCATAAGTACTTCTATTGTTCTTGAAATATGGTTAAAGTGTACTGCCGAATGTACTGACAAGCATTATGGTAGTTGCAATTTTGTACATCTAAAATGTATTAACTTTAAATGTAATACTGAATAACACACTACAGTTAAAAGTAGTCAGGTACTTTAGTATGTAGGTCAACACATCAAAATAAGTTTACTTTTTTAATGCATGACAAAATATTATTAAACAAAAAAACACTACAAGTGCACATTCAATACGTTTCAACACACTTAATTTTTTTGTCTATGGTGTAAAATAATAGCTTTTGTAGAGCGTTTGCCATTTATAAAACAGAAATGTCAGAAATGCTGTTTACTAAGAAATTGCACAGAATCTGAGGCATTATTATGAATTGGAACCTTATAATATATAGAGAGTTTTAAGAGAATAAATGCTGATTAGTACAGTATTTTTAGGATTACAAGCCCAAAAGGTAACAGTTTTGTGTGTGCAGAGGGTAACGCACCATCATTGAATATTTCTTGCATATGGCAACACTGTCAGGGAAATCAGGTCTAATATAATAGATCTCAAAGCTTTGCCCACACACTTCAGCATTCACAGACCCCAACACAGGCTTGCCATAAGTGTATCTAAAGACAGTGAAAAAAATTATCTCATCAGGCTGAACATTTCACTGAATTATAGTTATGTATGTGCCTCATTTATCTGTAAAGAAATGTACATTATTTGTAATAAATTCTTACTTTGCACAAACTTTCAGAGTGACCTCTTTGTCCTGGACGGTTATAACGGAGGGAAAATCGATGTTCACTTCATATTTTGGCAGAACTAAAAGAGAAATATGGAGAAAAAAAAAATGTTTAAATGGATACATTAAAAGCTGATCAGTATTGGATTGACAAAAAAGTTGAATCCTGGTTCTAACCATATTCTTTAATTTCAAAGCTGTGTGATATTTGTTGGTTCTTCTCGTCCCAAGCAGTGATTGTGTAGTAACCCTGAGCGGCTTCTGGAGACATGGAGTGGGACAGATCCAAAATGCCAATCCTTGTGGTCCGATTCAACCACTGACCAATGCGATTTGAATAAGGGTCCTAAACAAGAGTGGCACATAATGAAAAAAAGCCTACAGTGGAATCAAATTGCATTTTATAAAGTAACAAACAATGAACAGATCATGGATACTTGAAGGATTTTACCTGGAGTTCTACAGTTCGAAACTGCAAGAGAAAGACATTCAAAAATCATTTCAGTTAGGTCAAAAGAACAATAATACATGTGACCCTGGACCACAAAACCAGTCATAAGGCTCAATTTTTTGAAATTGAGATTTATACATCATCTGAAAGCTGAATAAATAAGCTTTCCATTGATGTATGGTTTGTTAGGATATGACAATATTTGAAAAGCTGGAATCTGAGGGTGCAAAAAAATCAAAATACTTTAAAAATGGCCTTTAAAGTTGTCCAAATGAAGTTCTTAGCAATGCATATTGCTAATCAAAAATTAAGTTTTGATATATTTATGGTAGGAAATTTACAAAATATCTTCATGGAACATGATCTTTACTTTATATGCTAATGATTTTTGGCATAGAAGAAAAATCGATAATTTTGACACATATGTACATTGTTTTTTTGGCTATTGCTAAAAATATACCCAAGCGACTTAAGACTGGTTTTGTGGTCCAGGGTCACACATATCACTTCAACTGAAAATAAAGTAAAATCGCGTAAATTAAAATAAATTTACCATTTGATTGAAAGGCAATAAATTGGAATCCAGAGACACAATGCGAAATTTAACTGCATGGGGAAGAACATTTTTGAGACAGAATATTAATACATACAGTATGCAAAAAAGAAAGACTCAAAGGCTCATATTAAAAAGAACAAATGAGTACTGATAAGTAACATCTTAAACTATTTTGGAATGATTTATGAAGAGAAGTATTACTTGTTTGTCCAGGCTTGTAGATAGGCTTGTCTGATTGGATGAAAAGAAGATTTTGGGGGGGAGTTATGAGGATCTTAGTGTTGTTGTTTAGGGATGTTTCTCCCCCTCGGATTACAAAATCAACAGATGCCACAGACTCCACAGTGACTACAGGAACCTGGAAGATACAAATTAAAAAAACAGTGTGTGTATAACTCCACTTACAGACTATAGAAATTAAAATGCATCATCAACACTACAGGGACCACTGAACAATTCAGTAGTAAAAAAAATATATACAAGATTAATGATAAATGCAAGTTTTAGGGTTTCACTTGCACATTAATTATATTTTATATCTCACTATGGATAGGCTCTTTAACTTGAATGTCATTTTATAAGTGTTGTGCAGACATGATAGGAAAGGGCCATGATCTCTAAAACATAGCATTAGCACAAGTAGAGTCAATTTCTCTGTTCTGTTCAGCTATAATGAGTATATTGACCTTAAAAGTGACACATTTGTAGAAATCCTTTTTAATGGAGCCCTGTTGTAGGATGGTCAAGTTGCGATTGTCAGTCCTCAAAGTTACCACTATAGAAAGTGGTTCTTTGGGCTCATGAATCTGTGCACACAGAGTCTCTGTGCTGCCACCCACCGCCTGGGAAGTGACTGTCACCAGGTAGATGCTGAAAGAAGACAAAACACAAAGAAATACATTTAGAGACTTGCATAAACCATACAATGACTATAAAATGCTTTTTTTAGCATAAGTTTATTGTCGCATGAGCCTGCACAAAAACAAGTAAATGTTGTGTAAGTGGTTGGTGCAGTATAAATGTGGCACTGGCACTATTATGAATTACCTTAAAAAGAAAAAAATATTATATTTAACCAGACAATACATATAGTGTTATTTAAGATGTAATTAAAATAAATATAATAATACAATTTATATTGAATAGTTTTACACTACCGGTCATAAATTTGGAATAATTACAATTTTTTATGTTTTTTAAAGAAGTCACCAAGGCTGCATTTTTTTTTATCAAAATTCAGTAAAAACAGTAATATAATGCAATAGCATTACAATTTAAAATAACTGTTTTCTATTTTAAAATATTTTGAAATGTAATTTAATCCTGTGATGGCAAAGCTGAATTTTTCAGTGGCACATTATCCTTCAGAAATCATTTTAATATGTGGATGCTGCTCAGTTTTTATCAATTATTAAAAATGTCTATTATAAAAGTTCAAAACAGATTTTGTTGATTCATATTTTATGAAAAACGTCTGCATTATATCAGGATTTTAAGATAAATGTAAGGTTCAAATGAACAACATAATAAATACCTCTGCTGACACTTTTGATGTGTCCTTGCTGAATAAAAATGTTAATTAGGCCTATACTAAAAAAAAAAAAAAAAGTTTCCACTCCAAAATTCCCACCAAAATATTAAGCAGTACAACTGATTTCAGTATTACTGATAATAAGAAATATTTTTGAGCAGCAAATCAGCATAATCAAATGATTTGAATGACACAAGAACTGGAGTAATGATGCTGAAAATTCAATTTGCCTTCAAAGGAATACAGTCAGGGGCGTAGCGTCTTGTATGCAGGGTATGCAGGTGCATATGGGCCCGGGAGTATTGTGGGCCCGCCGAGCCGAGGAGGAACCTTTAATTGAAACGAGGGAATGAATAGAGCCCTGCACGGGCCCGGCCCTTCCGACAGCTTATCAGAATATTCTCGGCCTGAGTCTGACCCGAGCCCGTGTCTTTTTCCTCTCTCTCTCTTTCTTCCCCTTTACACAGCTGCTGTTGCAGCAAATAGTCCAGTTTTGGTTTTTAATGGCAAAGTGGTTATATTTCTTTTCGTTTCTTTATTAAGTGACTTTAGAAATATGTTTGGAACATTTTATGTTTGTTAAATTCAAGTTGTTGTTTTTATTTTTTAAAGTAACGACCAAGCGGCCAGCAGCGGACTGAGTTGAGCATATATGTTTGATCAATTTAGCCTTCTCAGATCAACATGACTTGCCTAAAATAAAATCTATAGACATAAAACACTTCATGCTTTGCAGGACATGGAGGCACCAGCGCGATCACTTTCATTTTTTTCTTAAGATAGGAAACTTAACATATGCAGTCATTTTTGCACATAAAGGTAAGAGTAATACATCATTCGGAATTGTAAAGGGTCTACTTTTATTTGTGTGCACTCACAAACAATATCAACAAAAACCTGTGCTTTTGTAAAATAATTAATGAAAACAAAGAGGATGCGCTTTCTGTCGTCTTGGTCTTGAACAGAAGCGCTTCACAATGATGAACCGACACTCAGCGAATACTAAATAAAATAAAATAAAAAGTCTGTGGCATCCAACCTGTCATTCTTCATATTTAACATAAAAACAGCAATAAAAGGTATTAACATTAATCACTTCTGAAAAATCAACAATAAGTTAACCGAGTTGGAGCCAATAACGTTTGGGGCGGGCCCATACAATTTTTTTTGCATATGGGCCCGTGGCTGACTTGTTATGCCACTGAATACAGTACATTATATTTTAAAATATATTCAAATAGAAAACAAATCTATTGTCTTGTTACGCTGCCGGAAGGAACGATGGAGACATAAGTAAGCAAAATAGCCTTTAATTAATCCACAATATTGGGTAAATCCACACCAGGAAGGAAGAATGACACACGAACACAACTTGTAGACCCGACAGAGGAGGAATACACAGACAGAAACTTAAATACATGACATAACAAGGTAATTGGGAGGAACACAGTTGCACTGAATGACTAATTAAACTAATCGAGGACAGGAACATGACCAAATAAGAGAAAATAGGAACAGAAACAGGGGCAAAAACACGACAAAACAGGTCCATGATCCTGACATCTATTAAATTGTAATACTATTTCACAATATTAACGTTTTTACTGAATTTTTGATGCAGTCATGTTGAGCAAACTAATAAAAGTAAATACAACTAATAAAGCTTCATAATTTACTGGGCATTCCCAGAATTCCCTGCACAAACCTTGACATTTTGATTCTTTTTTGTATTTTCAGTTATTAGGTTAGCATTAATTAGTCTTATGTTATGTGTGATACTGATGGTGTTTTGTGTTTGTTTGGGTAACAATGTGTTGTCTTGTTTTTATTGAGTTGTGAAATAGGCCAATATTGCTTTATCTCATATAGATTTAATAGCTAAAATTACATATTATAATATTATTTAATGTAAAATACGGTCATCAAAATGCTTCCCATAATGCTTGCTTACAACATCGTCACTGTGTCTCTCTTCTGGTAAGTTTTTACCGTAAATCTAAAAATAAACTGTTTACAGTGTGTTACATGTGAGCACAAAAGTGCAGTTGTCCTAAACTTTTCATCAGTGTCTACTATAGCTGTGGAAGACAATCGTCTGGTCCTCGACCTGCAGGTTTTCCTCATTACTCTACCTTCTGCTATCTTGTATTTGTGAAGATAATAATCATAAAGGCTCTTACGGATCAGTGGCTCCGCTCGTTAAAGAGCATTGCAGCAGCAGCAGCAGCGGCGGCAGAAGCGACAGCAGCATCCTGAGCAGTCAGTCCAGCACACGCACAGAGAACTCGCCCACTGATCCCATCACACAAGAGCACACTTTTATACACCTCTGCCTCCTCCCTGCCCTACCACACCAAGGCATGGAAAGTTGAGCAACTGATATGATGAGGAGTTGAATCATTTGGGATCGACATAGGCATTATCTTTTGTGTTGTGCAACAAGTAAGTGGACAGTGATTCACTGAAGTCAATTAACTTGTAAAGTGGCTGAATGAGTTTCACTTTTTTTGTTGTTTGCAAAGATTACTTTTACAAACAAGCTGTATTGATCATTCGAGTTATGTGACAAAGGGAATTGTATGTATTGCCAACAATACAATAAAAGCAAACAATACAATAAAATAAAATAAAATAAAAAATAAATGAAGGTCACATTAAAAGACCTGAAAACGTTTAATAGGAAGTGAAACAAAAGCAAACAATAAATAAAATAAAACAAAACAAAACAAAACATTAGATTTTTTCAAATTTTATTTTATTATTTTACCAGGCAGTCATTTTATTTTAATGACTTTTAACCCTTGTTCCTCAAACATCTTAAAATCTATTTTTAAAAACTATTAAAATCCACCATAAAAATATTCTTATATTTTAAAAACTGTGATAAACTTGAAAAAGTAAAACACAAAAATTACAGCACTTTAAATTAAATTAAATTAAATTAAATTAAATTAAATTAAATTAAATTAAATTCCCGTAACAGAGAGTCTATTTACACTAAGTGTAAAAAGCCCTCCTTGTCGATTTACACTAACTCCACACACCAACGTGCAATTGGGATAGTAAAGATTACAAAAGACGGCTGTCCAAGCTACTGTTTTGTGAATTTGCAAACTGCAGTCTTTTTGACGCGATCTGCCCGTGTTTGAATCCGCCTTTTGCTGACCTCTTTCTTCTCCCTTTTCAAGTCTCGCATCTCATCGAAAGGCATTAATTTTAAGTAAATATAAAGGATATAATCAATACGTTGAAAATAAAGAATCAGGTAGGGTTAGAGACTCTAACTTAGAGTAGGTGTAGGGAGGACTTTATTGTCCCAATAAGGTGGCATCCATTTAATAATTTGAAATAAAATTATAATTTACACTCAATACCTTATTATTACAAATTTGTTTTATAATGTAGGCTACTGAGGTGCAGAGATATTTGCCACTATTTGCAATAAGTAGTAGCCTATACACCTTATTCTTCCCATAAAAATGGGCGCGACCATTTGTAAATTTTATGGGTCTTGCTTCCGGTCTCATTCGCTTCCAGCTATTTTTAGCTGTACAAAACCGCTCCTTTTGCTGCTTGAAATTGCAAATTGGTGTGTCTTACCATATTATTTTAATGTATTATCTTAATTATGAACACACTTGTAGTGCAAACAGTTTGACCGTTTACTGCACGCTGCAATTCTTCTAGTTATTTCCCTATAGCGACTAATGAACCGGAAGTCTCGCCCATAGGCTTACTTCTGCATTGAAGAATAAGGTTGATAAATAGCAGAAAATTCTGCTATTTTTACATAGTGTAAATAGAATCTATCACTATTTGCACTTAGTGTAAATAGCATCTAATTGCTATTTACACTTAGTGTAAATAGCACCTATCGCTATTTGTACTTAGTGTAAATAGCATCTATCGTTAAAAAATATGCTATTTTCACTTAGTGTAAATATCATCTAATTGCTATCAAAACATCCAATTCTCTCCTCTGCCCCCCTCCACCACTTCTTTAACAGCTGATGATTTCGAATGAACCGGAAGTCTCGCCCATAGGCTTACTTCTGCATTGAAGAATAAGGTTGATAAATAGCAGAAAATTCTGCTATTTTTACATAGTGTAAATAGCACCTATCGCTATTTGTACTTAGTGTAAATAGCATCTATCGTTAAAAAATATGCTATTTTCACTTAGTGTAAATATCATCTAATTGCTATCAAAACATCCAATTCTCTCCTCTGCCCCCCTCCACCACTTCTTTAACAGCTGATGATTTCGCCACATTCTTCACAGACAAAACTAGAACAATCAGTAGTCAATTCTCAGCCCCACACACACAGGACTTCAAACCAACCACACCCACTGCTAAAACTCCCATCTTCTCCTTCTGTCCCCTCAGGCAGAAGTATCAAAACTTCTCCTCTCCAGCCATCCTACAACATGCCCTCTGGACCCAATCCCCTCACACCTCCTCCAAGCAATCTCTCCTACACTTTTACCAGCACTCACACACATCATCAATACATCTCTCCTCACAGGCACCTTCCCCACTGCATTCAAGCAGGCTCGAGTAACCCCAATGCTCTAAAAACCTACATTAAACACTTCTCTTATAGACAGCTACAGACCTGTCTCTCTTCTTCCATTCATAGCGAAAACCCTCGAACGAGTTGTTTTCAACCAGGTATCATTGTTTCTTTCACAGAACAACAAACTGGACGCTAACCAGTCAGGTTTCAGGAGTGGCCATTCAACTGAGACTGCGCTACTGTCAGTCACGGAAGCCTTGCGTATTGTAAAGCTGATTCCAAATCATTAGTTCTTATTCTGCTGGATCTATCTGCTGCTTTTGACACTGTCACTCATCAGATCCTCCTGTCTGCCTTCTCATCACTGGGCATCAGAGGGATTCCACTTTGCTGGTTTGAATCTTATCTCACTAGTAGGTCTTTCAGGGTGGCCTGGGGAGGCGAGGTATCCAAAGCACATCAACTGGTCACTGGGGTTCCTCAGGGATCAGTTCTTGGACCACTCCTCTTCTCCATATAAACTACATAACTGGGTCCCATCATACAGGCACATGGCTTCTCCTACCATTGCTATGCTGATGACACACAACTCTATCTTTCATTTCAACCAGATGATCCAACGGTAGCTGCACGGATCTCAGGCTGCCTGGCGGACATCTCGGCATGGATGAAAGAACATCACCTACAGCTCAACCGTGCAAAGACTGAGCTTCTTGTCTTCCCTGCCACTCCAACTCTACAGCATGATTTCACCATCCACCCCATCAAGAAATCTTGGTGTAATCTTTGATGACCAGCTGACCTTCAAAGACCACATTGCAAAGACTGCAAAGACTGC